TTTTAAAGTCTTTTGTCAAATATGTCATTTCGTATGGTTAATTCAATCAAATATTTGCATCTAATAAGTGGACTTGTTATTTCTCTTCAAGGTCTGCTGGTCGGCAGGCAAAGCAGCTGCTTGCCTGAGGCCGGGGAAATCAAACATAGAGGTTTTATTCAAACTAGTTGCTAAAAAAACGACTACACTGGTACCAGCTCCACACACGCTGTGCTTTGCATGACTAATGCAGCGCAAAATAGCCATTACTTCTTGCTGGGGATTTTGTATGTTTGGTTATACAAACGATAGCCCTAGATATTATTGTATATGTATTCCGAAAACTACAGCAGTCTACAACTACAGAGATCTTCCACTGCAGAGATTAGACAAGTGCATCAGATCATTAACTGTGAAATAAAGTGATGATGTTTTACTACTGAAACAATAGTCTGGTTTATCTATGCTGCAATTTGCACAGAAAAAGACGAGACGACCATTTTGTAATAGAGCCAATATGGGTAAAGGCAAGCGACACAAACTTAAACCTCTGCACAGAGACCTGAGGCATAGTGGACTTTAGCTAAGTAGCAGCCAGCTTTTATATGAATTTAGACACCACCTTACATCTCAACTTATATCTGTGGGATGGGATCTGATGGAAGGGTGAGTCTGCCATATCAAAAGACAAAAAGGGACACTCACCTGAAGAGGACTCCTTTAATGACCTGCCATGCATTAGGTGGTTGTTGCGGTGGCTGCTGCTCCTGAGGATCCTGTGCAGTTTCAGCCGTCTGCACAGCCTCGCCATCTGTCGTTGCAACGGTCCCATTGCTGCTCACCTACAACCATACAGACACACGGTCAGTGTACCCAAATAAATCCCAATGATGACGGGGCATTGACATTCCATGATAAAGTACAATATCGAACAAGAACATCTTCACTGGCAGTAAAAAGGAGTGAATGTGGGTGAACGTGGTGATAAAATAAAAGAATATCAACAATAGGGGAAAGATAAGCCTCAATTTACTGGCAAAACTGGATGTATTTTGTGCATCTTTAAGAAACGAAGGTTTAGATACGGTGATACACATTATATCAGACTTGACAGAACAATTTGAATAACTGAAAATTGAAAAAAAGATTGAATGCCAAAGATTCTCACTCCAGCTACTCGAATACGATGAATTGCGGTTTATCTGATGTAAGTTAGATACATTTGCATTTATACAGATCTGGTCAGAGAAAACAAGACAGTGTTTCCCCTATACACAAATAGCGGCGGCGCTGAAATATGCGCGCCGCCACTAGGGGGCACCAGCCAGGTACCAAAAATAAAATAATAATAAGTGGCGACCCTTTTTGATTGTTTGTTATGTGGATTTGTAGTATTTGTGTTACTGTATGTTCAATAAAGGTGTATTTTGCTAAATCTTGAGACACTGCCACTGTATGTACTAGGCCTCAAGAGCCTTTCTTGTGCTGGCAGACAACATATTGGCAGGGCGCACTTCGCACGTGCACACACTAAAATAATTCCACGCGCTCCGCGCTCACATTTTGCTGGGCCTTAGCACCGCTGCTATGACTCCATCCTAGGGGAAATTTTATTGAAATCAGTCAAATTTGTCAAAGGTTTGCTTTAGCATGTCAATGTGGCCCAACGCCCCTGCAGCAAGGCCACATTGTATTCAAGTGACACAATACACAAGCCAAGTCAGGAGACTCTTTCCCTATCTAAACATCTAATCTCCCCCATTGTCATGAACACAAGGGAGACCAGAAGTTAGCCTCCAGAAACAACAGTATTTTCCGCTCAGCAGGTTATTGAGGTGCCGAGAAGGCCAAAAATAACTGATTAAACCTTGTAAAGGTTTAGGTTTTCTGATAAGCCACTAACCCAGGACCATCACAAACTGAATTTCAAGGACATGCAGTGGCTCAAAATAGAGCTTTTTATGCTTCCTTGCCTTGTCCTGTTTTGTTTAAACGACACAAATTATATTAGCAGAGACATGTCTCTGTCTCCTAGAGGGATCAACGTAATAACCGTTAAGCACACAGATCATTCATATGCTCAACACGAGAAACAGGGGTATCTGTTCCAGCTCGAGATAATAATTTACAATATTACACACTGAGCAAGGATTAACAATTAACCACCTGCTCAGGGTGCAGAGCAAATGCTTCACACGTGTCTGGAAGGAAGAGGGCCAACAGTTCAGGCAAGTCAGTCTTTGACAGAAGCCGAGATTGCTTTGGTAATGTTTATCACACATGGTGACACTATCTCCTACAGCAGGAAGCAAGCTAGAATGCATCATAAGGGCATATAAACAAGCATATTAAAGTCATATTGGATGCATGCGTATCAGTTTATAAAGGCTACAATGATTTTTATCTGGGCTGCAATGCTCATTTTCAAACTTTGAAGATGGTCTTTCCACATCAGACTAGTGTAAAAGGGAAATTAAAATGGATGATAACTTAGAGATGAAAACACTGATTTTATTCTGTGTCTTTTGCTCACCGCAATAAAGTTTCACCTGTACCCAGTAGATTTATTAAAATCGAAACTGAGAATATAAAAAGAACTAAGTAGATTGATTTTTTCCCCACTAGATTAATACCAGACATTTCTCTCAACTGACTCGCCAGTAGCGGGCCTCAAGATGAACATCGTAAACTAATAATGCATTTATCCTGACATTGCAATTTCATTACAAGAAGAGACAATACGTGCATGTTGAGCCCTTGCCCTAGTTTCTGCCACTTGAGTATTACAATTAGATTTGAATCAAAGAGCTAAGCATTTTGTAATATGTCTTTTAATAACATATTACTGCCGTTAAGGGAGTTTCCAAAAATGTACAAAACACTCAAATTGTATACATTTTTTTCGCACGTTTTTATCTGCTATTGGTTTACCCAGATGGTTGAGTAAAAAAGCAGTAGGCCTACATGTCTTTATTTAACCTAATTCTAGGTTTTGCTGCCATCTTTAATTTTGTATGAGATTTATCATTGATTCATCTGCTTTGCAATGTAGTGTAAAGACATAAGAGGCATGACCTGGGACAAAAAAACACAACCTAGATTCTAGATTTTAAACCTTAAAAAGACCAAAACCAAAAAGTTTAACAAAATTCTTTAAAGACCCATTGGTAAATCATAAATCAAATTATTAAAAAAAATCAAATAACAGGTCTGTCTTGGGCTTAATAGATTAAAACGCATAATATTTACCTAATCTTCTCTCCTGATCATGTCAATATGTTGTATCACTAGAAATGTTAATAATGTGACAGACTTCGAATTAAAAGGCAAGACAGACCCGTGGTCTGCCTCTGGAAAGTGATGATTCACTATGACCTCTGGTAACTTGTGACATTTGTCAATCCGGAAATAATTGCTAGATGGAGATGCCGTCCCAATTAACTCCAACAACTGTTATTTAACAAATGTATTTGAGCATTTTCCCAGGGTTAGCCAAATAAATTCGACGATTACACTTGATTCTTGTCACTTGTCAATGTTACCAAGATGAAATGGCAGATAAAGCTTTGCCGTGTGGCATCCCAAATGAACATGGAGCTTTAAGGTTTCCCTGTAATATGTGTAGATGGAGAAGCAGGTGGCTCGCCGTGAATTAGAGATGTGTGAGCTGCTTGAGACCGGCCTGGCAGGAGAAGCCGAGCTGCGTTGTTAAGCTTCAGGCCTTGTGATAGCTAACTGACACTGCAGCAGCCTCACACCGACACACATGGAGTCAACTAATTATCTTGTCACTTTTATGTAATTGTATGTCTTCGGGTGATATCTCCCCGTTAACAACTCGGCTCTCACTCCGCTGACCGGCAGGATTTATCCGCAAACAGGCAGGATGTCTCGGTGAACGGCAGGAGGGGGTCGTTTTAAAACCAACCGGCACTGACAACGTCACTCGTGTACCGATCGGCAAGACGTTTAAATGTTAACGGTCCCCCACTCCACTCTCAAATACATAAAAACTGCCCTTTCTCCTGGGCGTAAAACAGATAATAAGGTACTAAGTGTGTCATTCATTTTTTTACCTCGCCGTTGCTGACGATTTCTTGAGCTGCTTCGCTCTCCTGCGTCGCCATCTTCCCTTGTCTCTATCGCGAACACACCACACTGCTGCTGCATGGGAAAATGCGCTGCTTCTCGCGAGAGGATAGTATGTAGCGTCATCGCTCTGGCGTTCGTCTTCAGGGAAGGAAGGAACTACATAAAATCCAAGCGAAATGTTACCTTTTGTTTTTATGACTATTTTCTTTATATTTCTTTAATTCATGTTTTCACTCTGTATATGTACCTATATACTATACTAATACCTTTATATAATGTTTTGATTTTTGAATAAAGGGCAAAAATGAATGAAAATACATAAAAACCTACCTAGACACACTAAAAATACTGCAAAAACGTGTTAATTGTAATAACTGGAGCAGTTTATAAGGAATTTAATTTATGTATTTATTTTTGATTTGTTCATGTTTGCTTTTGATTTAACCAGCCATCAATTTGTATAACGATCTGGCTATCTTTCTGTCTATACATCTTATTGGATTAGCAAAACACTATATTTGTGGCAGAACATTTGCAAAATACAAACCCAACCTTACTGTTTTCATGTCACTGTATGTTAAGACAAACTATATCAAGTAAACAACCTCAACCAATTACATGTGAAATCCTCAGTAATATAATTTAAAAAAGATTTAGACAATGGCCTTTCTTCATGAGAAGTGCATGTTTTGATATTTAAATATACTCGGATACAACTTGTATAATACAGAATATTCTGCACACTACATACATTCTGAATAGCACCCTGTTCGGTTGTCTTGAATGTAATGTTTAGGCAGTGTGTTTGTTGTATTTAACAAAGGCACTTGTTCTTATTGAGCAAAACTATATATATATATATATAGTGGGTTAATAGTTCAGTTTTGTTTGTGTCATACTGCAGGTACAGACAAGTTGACTCAATCTGATACCTTTGTACTGGCAAATCATTTTTATTAATATTCATTACCTTTAGCACATAGTAACACAAGCACTTTAGAGATTATTTTAGGAAAAAAAAAAAAAGAACACTACATTTCTGTATAAGTAATCACATATCTTCTGAAAAAATAAAATAAACATTTCTTCTGTAAACTAGAGGATGAAAAAGATGTTAACAGTATTGGAACAGTCAAATAAAAACAAAGCATAAATAAGGCATATTATTCCTTTTTCAGAGCTGTGTTGGGATTACAATGGAGAGTGAGTTATAGAGAGTGATATAACAGTCATCAAAAAAAATGCAAAGACAACAGCCAAATATAAACAGTTATAGACAATCATCTTTGTACTAACCGATACAAAAATCATTGAAGAGAAATTAAATTGGTGTTAAAACTGTCAATACAGGCTTTCAGATTACAAAGATGACTCCCATGTACAGAACATTTGGAAGCAACAGGTACTGCAAAAGCAAGTAAATTAAATCTAAGTGCATGAAGTGAATGACCACATATTGACCTTGTGATACATGCAACCAAACCCCCTTTATTAGACATTGTTGGTGTGATTATCCTGTACCATTCTCATATGTAGCAAACCAGGAGATGTACTACCTGACATTCTCCTCATTCATGTTGTGTAGTGAGAGAGAATCTGAGCATCACAGACCTTAAGACACCGTGCTTTGGATAATGCCCCACAGAGAGGCACAAAGTAAAAATACAAAAAACAGAAAATTCATTTGTTATGATGACAGTGACTTTGCATCCTCTCTGGTCGGTGAATGGGAACAGCTTGAGGTCGACACTCACATTTCCGGGCAGAAACACTCACTGTCACATTACAGTCCTACATCTCATCAATACCAAAATCCTCCTCAGGAAAGTCTCCCACCGTCACATTTAGGGGCTTCACAAATCCTCCATATTTGTCCTCGCATTCAAAGTATTGCTTGCCATTGACACTGTGGGAAAACAATTTAAGGAAAGCTAGGGTCAAATGCAAAAATCAAGAACATCATGATCAATATTGTGCATAACATAAAAGAAAAATGGTGCTCTTACGTTCCATCATGCTTTCCCATGGGCTCATCGTACTTCAGACCCACCCAGTAGCCAGGCTTGAAATCTGCTGTTCCTGCAATTAAAGTAACAGTGTTATTCACACCGGGGACTCGTCACAATGTGACAATCATGAATTCTCCGTGTTCATTGTTTGCTGAAACTGACAAAAAGTTTTGTTTTGGTTAAAAGGAATTGTATTGACTCAGTACTCAGCAAACACAACTGTTACACAATTAAAGCTTGAGGATGATTTCATTTGAACCAGAGGAAATCAGATGAATAAGAGGACTACGTCTACTATAACACACCACAAAGATGTACAACTCAGCCAACCAATGTCCTAAAGGGAGTCAACAAGCTATGTTTTATCCACACTTACCAACATACATGACGGTGCCAAGCTTTGTCGGTTGCCCTGAGACCTGCACTTGGCATCTGCTGCCAACAGAAATAGCATCAGCAGCAGCTTTCTGCTCCTCCTCCCGAGCAGCAAGGTCAGCTTTCTTCTTGGCCATTTCTTCCTCGTTATAGACACCAACCCGATGTTTCTTCATGAATGACCTTGCTGAATCTGAAGGAAGAAATTCGATTGTAAGAACAGACTACTTCAAATAATGTATTTATCATATGTCAGTGGTTAGCATACTACCACCACAATCGCTAAATAATAAAAGCTGTGATGGAGGCATTGTTGCTTTTATTTTCCGTCTATGGCTGCAGCTATAAATGGGTTTCATTCTTAAGTGCTTTATCAATAGGTGGCTGGAACCACTAAATGAATAGACAATGGTTAATTTCAGATGATTGACATATTTAACAACAAATCAATTCAGCCAAGATAAGCTTTGCTAAGCGTTGCTGCTGCGTAAGCCACAATTGAGCACAAAATTGGGGGAAATATATTGTATTTAAAAAAAATTGTTAATTCTATGATAATGACAAAGTAAAGAGATGCTTAAATATGTAGACTGTACCTGTTCTCTTTTCATAAGAGTCCTCTGGGAGTTCAAACTTCTCCACCTTGGAAACATCACTGAACTCGCTCATCTGACCACTTCTATCGGTAACCTGTGATTCAAGATTAAAAACAGACACTAATTAAAGAAAAAAGACCACACGTATTTGTGCATGTGTGAGCCATTAACTGTAAAGCACTTAAGCTTATAACAAGCAACTTAACAATGACATTATTTTTCTTTTCCTATTGACAGAATTAATGTATTGTGAAATATAAATGTAGATTTGAGCGGTCACTGTTTTAGAAACTCGCACTAGTTGGTAAACTTAAGTAAAAAAGTAAAAAGTATAATAATTTATGTGCTATTTAACACAACCTATATGGATGGGTTCTTATGTTAAAACCAGTTGGAAAATGTTTCACTGCAAAGTTGTCTTAAATGTCTCCAGGAAATGTGTTCTGTTAAATGCTTATCTTATCTGATGTGAATATTTTTAGGGCTGCAGGGAAACAGAATTGGATTTGGAACCAAATACATTTGGCTACCTGTTTGACTATAATATGGTCTGGGCAACCACATTAAAAAGATCTTCCAAACCGACCAGCTACTTACATGTATTCTGCAGTCATCATCCACAGGAAAGGAACCCAGCAAAGCTTCATTGTTGTCCATTTTCTGCAGGAATGTGTCAGAGACGCTGAACAACTCCAGGTCCATGCAGGAGGGAGATGCACCCAAAACCATCTCCAATTTTCCCTAATTAAAAAAAAAACAATCAAGATAGATGTTATTGTCTCTGATAACATGAGATGCCTTTATTAAACAATAATGTCAGTACAAAGTGTAGGAAATATGTATAATGTGTGATAAGCGGAGTCTCACCTTCAGTTCTGCTATACTAATCCCTCTATTGAACCTGCGCTGCACCTCGAAGGAGGAGATGGAGCTTGTTAGGCGCACATTCACAACAGGATTGGTTACTACTGTCACTCCGCCGTCCATGATGCTGGTTGAATCCGCAACAACTGAAAACAAAGGCAAACAATGTGACATGTTAGCCAACAGGAGTCAAATTGATCCCACAGTTGTGTATAAATACTGTTAAAAGGTAATTTCCTGGTGTCATGTTGCATAATTCCTAATATTAAAACCTGACGGCAAGTAAACTTTCATCGAAACAATTTACAAGCAGTGGAGGAACAAGTTTGCAGATCGTTTACCCACGTAAAAGTAATAAACCATAGTCTAAAAGTTCTTCATTTAAAGTCAAAGTCCTGTATTCAAAATATTACTTAAGTGAGAGTACTCATGAGTCATTAGCAAAAACATGTACTGTACGTGTCAATAGTCAAATTAGTCATTATGGAGACATTGTTAATTTAAAATTGTATTTTTATGTACAAAACAGTTTTTTGTACATGTAAGAATATTTGAAATATTTCCTCTTGTCCACAGTATCTCAACATTTGTAATCCTAACCCTTGTCAAATGACATGCATAGTATAGCCAGATGCGAAATTGTAGTAGAGTCAATGTATTCAATTGCAATCCATTAAAATATTCAAGAAAATAAGTATGTCAAAATGCTGCAGCACCACAGTAAATGTACCTACTCAGTAGTTGTTCTCTCTCTCACACACAGTGTTAAATATAATAGAACAAATACAATTTCAAAGATATGATTACAAAGACAACCATAACGAAGACCAAAGGGTTGCCCACTCACAGGTCGTCTTAAGTTGTTGCTCTTTTACCCCCAGCAATGCATCCTGTGATAGGAGCACAGCTGTCAACTAGGGTAACACTGTAGTGATGCGCAATGGGTGCGCACAGGTAACGTCGCAGTATAAATTAAACTCCTCCGACTAGGAAAGATAAGGATTTGTTTGTTATCATGTTGTTTGTCAGGGCAATATATGTTTCTATCTCTGTAGGGATGTAATGAGCATTTCAACAAATATAACAAAACGTGTCTAAAATAAATTACTCGCCCTACCTCTTACTAGTAGTTTACCACTTAATGTTACACAGCATTTTGAAGTTACACGTTTAACTTTGGTCAATTACCATCTTTGTTGCTCATGTTTATACACTTTAAGACCTTTCATAATTTAATATAGTTTGTATTTTAGCTAACGTTAGCTAGTTTACATTAGTTATCCACCTTCTGTTAGAATGGCTCGTGTAGCTAGCCACCTTCTGTTAGAATGGCTAGCAACAGCAGAGTCACGTTGGATACCATAAACACGCTACAATATAAAGTAAGGCTGCCATACTTACTTAAAAAAGGGGTATTTTTCTAGAAGTGTGAAGCAAATTACCAGAGTATCCCTTCTTGAGTAACAGAAGTATCGCAGCAAGATGTGTAGGGTTTATATACCTCTCTGGCTTTACCACGCCAAAAATCACGTGACCACTAGACGACCCACCCCGTTACGTCACATTAGCGCTGTTTTATTCAACGAGCATCAGTATTTAACAAACTTTTAAAAGGGACCCCTTAAAAAGAGCACGTTTTATTGACTAAAATAAAATAATGAAAGCAGTAAAGCACTTTTATTATAATTGATGACTAACTGCTACATCATGGTCTCATACATCCCATTTCTGGAACGTTCTTCTACCACACCCCCAGACATGAAACCACCAATCACATCAGAGAAAGCAAATGAAGCCAACCAATAGAGTGACGATACGAACCAAAAAGGACCTGCATTGCCGCCTACTTACCGGTAGATTGACACCACTCGAGATAGGAGCAGGAGTGATGCGACAGAAACAACCACACTGTGGCGCTATCGTTCAGTTTTAAACCATGGAGACTCTACGCAGGTTAATTTTATAGGAATATTAACATCACAAATGATAACCGAGCTTTGTTTTCAATTAGGATTTTAACCTGATATATTTAATTATATATGAGATGGTGATTACCTTTTAATTTGTATAAATTAAAAAAATTAAATTAATTAAGCGACTTATTTATTATTATTATTATATAAATGTTGGCAGTGGGGCTTTGAGTCTTGCATGGATAAGAATAAATCTATCATTGCACTGGAATAAAGCCAAGTGTCATAATAAGCATATATACAGTAAGTCACACGATCCGGCTATAAAACAGAAACTTGTAATAACGACTATGTAATAACAAAATATAAAGTGTGACAAGTTAATATTGCTACATAGGGTTTGACCTGATAATCAGCCAGCAAAGCCACACCATGTCTGGGTCCATTGTAATTTTGGCTTCTGTAAAGTAGCCTATATTTTTGTTACAACATCTGATATTTTATGAAATGAATGTAGTCCACAGGGCCTGTTTGGACAGGCTTGAGCTGTAAATCCTCCATTGTACATTTCCTAAAACTATTTCTTACATCATGCTGGATGTTTGATAGAACATTTGACAATTTATGAAAAAAAATCCCTACTAGAAATAAAATTGGCCTTTTCATAAATCATGGATATATTTCGGTGGACCAAACTAGTATTCATTGAGCACAGATAACAGAGCATGTATGGGCAGAAAAGATGAGATCAAAGAAAGATGAGAACTACAACCAAACCCCGGAGAAGGAGGGGCAGAGGGGGGCTGAGACATCCCACACAGGCACAGCGAGGATTTACATTCCTCTGGTTGTTGATGATGGAGACAATCCTGCCTCATTCAAACTATCTGCTGGCCATGCTCACATATTTGAGACACATATTAAAAGCACAATTTGGTGTCTGACAAACAGTTTATCATTTATAACTATTAAGGTTAAGGCATGCGCATATAATCATACACTTTCAGTTTTTGAGTGGGAGATAACTGGTAAGTCATTGATGCACTAACATGCAATACAGCCAAATAATTTCCCCCCCCCCACACAGAAAGTTATTTGAGTAAATTATAGTTTTTTCTTTATTAAATACAGAGTGAAATTGCCACTATAATGACCTGAGCATGATACAAATCTTTAAAAAAAAATCTAAAAATGAAGCACGTCACAAATGCAAATTATAGCTGCTGTGTGAGTGTATACTTAATTATGCATGTTGGTACAGTATTTGCATTAGAGACCTCCCAGGCCAGGCACACTGATGCTGCAGGGTAGCTTGTGAATGTTACTCCAGGTTTAACTAAAGTCTTGTTAAAGTGTTTTCTATATTTCACAGTTTCAATCAAAATCTGCAAAGTAACTAAAGGATAAATGTAGTGAAGTAAAAGTACATTATTTACCTCTGAATTGTGGTGGGGTAGAAGAACGAAGTAGTCAAATATTGAATTACTTAAGTAAAGTACAAGTCTCTCAAAAGTGTAATTAAGTAGGCTACAGTACTTGAGTAAATGTACTTTTGTCATTTTCCACCACTGACTTCCAGCATTTAATTAAAGGTAGGGTAGGTAATTTTGGAGAAACCAGCTCGAGATCGCTAGAATTTGAAAATACACAGCCGGAAAAAATCTGCGACTTCCTTACAGAGCCCCTCCTCCAACACACACAAACGCGCACATGACCAATGAGGGCACGAGATAGGTTTGTGCACAGATGGAAGGCTGACAGACAGGTAGGCCATCCAGTTATGGCGCGTTTCCACTACACGGCCTGGCGAGGCCTCGCTCGGTATGGCGAGGCCTCGTTAGGACTGGCTCACTTTATGGCGCATTTCCATTACAGTTTAGGAACTGGGGTAGTATCTATAGTAACGCAGTGTAGGCGGAGCCGTGACGTCATCTTCAATGAGAACCCCAGAAAAACAACACAGCCGTTAGCTGTTAGCACTCAGAGCTCACAGCTCCTCATATATGTTCAGAAACTAGACAAAAGTTAAACAAGTACAAACCACAGACTGCCTGTGTCATGGCGAATACAGTCGCTGCTTTATTTATGTCTGTATAGGCCGTTGTTGTGAGTGTGGACGGTCGGAGCATATACTGCGTTAGCTTAGCCAATCTCCATTTAGAAAACACGCATTTTAAAAGGTTTTTCGCCTGCCGTCTGTCTGCAGACTTGACAAAGCATTAATTCATGGTTTTTACTAACCGGTATCAGTATGTTGTTACTTCGGCATCATTTTGAAACGTGTATTACAATTAAATCACGGTCAAATATGTCCATCTTGTTGTAGTTGTAGCCCCCTTGCCAGCGATGCTCTCTCTAGTTTAGCATACTCAGCCCGACTCAGCCTCGTTGTCTCTGGCCCTAGACCCACGATTTTATGAGGCCAGAAAAACTGTGAATTAGGACCCGCCGGCCGGTACTAGGCCAAGTGGAAACGCAACCAAAGACGGGCCGCTGACGTCACAGCCCTCTTAAACCGTGCTCCGCGCTGTAGTGGAAACGCGCCATTATTTTAGCCGGGCCGGCTAAAATGATTGGTCGTGCTTTTTACAGTATTACGGCTTCCACAGATGACATTTTGTATGGATTTGTTGTCAAAGCACTTAAAATATTCATTGCTATCGGGGTGTTAAAGGTGGGCAGTGACGTGCGGTGAGGTTCATGGCTGGTGAGGCACTGAGAGAGTCAGATTTACAAATATTATATTTTGACCTTAATCGAAATATTCTGTTATTTTCAAAAGCTTTTTTAGTCTGATGCTTCGATTAATTTTAAACAGACCGTTCAACAAAAGGATACCCAAAATCTAAATATTGGATTGTTCTTTCTTAGTAAGATCCCATTTTCATTACAGTTGTGGTCTTACCTTGACTTGAAGATGAAGTCCATGCTATCCTTCTGGACAACAATCTCTATTACTTTTTTGTAAAAGTCCTCCTTATCTTCCTCTAGTTTCAAAAGTCTAGTTTGTTGTTTGCGTCTCCCGTCTCTGTGTAGAATAACAGTCGCAACAAGAACCTGTGGGCTCACGTGCGCCCCCTTCAGTGCGGCAGAGGTTATGGCTGCCTCTCCTGGTGTTTTTTTCATTGCCGTTGTACGATGAGACCAGCGAGCCTAAATATCATATACGTGAAATAAGTTATTTAGAGACTATGGATGGCGAGGATAAATGTAATAAACGGATCTACAAACATTACATTGGTGACCTACAGTGAGATGGTAACAGGCATGCGCTTAGTGCCCGCTTTCCAGCCAGTTTCTGTGGGGTGACGCATTCTGAAGTGAGGCAGAGCTCATCTTAGTGATGTGTCGGTCGCGAACGAGCCGGCTCAAAGAGCCGGCTCTTTTAAGTGAACGACGGGAGCCGGCTCGCGCCCGCGAACGAGCCGTTTTTTTTTGTTATTTTGTTGTTGTTAAGTAATACAAGACAGAATGATATGATGATCTCCGCGCTACAGCTGCTCCGTGCATGCATGCAGTGACATGTAATATCCAAGGATTAGAGACTGTTGGATGCTGCTGTTTTGAGCATTGCAATACATTTATTTTTATTATGTTTTTTTATGATTAGAGACGGTTGGATGCTGCTGTACTGAGCATTGCAATATATTTATTTTCACTATGTTATTTATTTATGATTATCCTTGGGCTCGGCAAAGATTTGATGTCAGCTGTTGCTGTCTTTTTTTCTATAGTTAATACTGAAATAGAGCCCTGCTGTTTAGTCAGGGCCTTTTCTTTAAATATAATTTTAAAATGTCGATAGAGTAGCCCATTTTTTAAAATGTCTATGCTTAAGTTTTTATCTCAATCTCAATCTTTATTTATTTATATAGCACATTTAAAACAACCTTCAGTTGACCAAAGTGCTGTACAGGCAATACATATTAAATAACACAATGGGAGTACAATAATAAAACAATAATTAAAAACATGATAAAAAGCACAATAACTAGAAAAATATTTTTTAAAAAACACATACAAATGTAAAAATGTAATGTTCAACTAGTATTAAAAGCCAGTGCAAAGAGGTGAGTTTTTAGCTGAGATTTAAAAAGTTCAATAGACTCAGCAGTCCGGATATGTACTGGGAGGCTGTTCCACAGTCTAGGAGCTGCAACACTGAAAGCCCTGTCACCTCGGGTTTTGTTGTACAAGGGTCTGTAAATGCAATGAAAACAATTGGCCACAGCAAATAATTGATATTAAACATGTCATTTTTACTTTTGAATACTTCCGTACAAAGGATGTATTGAATAATTTAAGTGATATGTGTACACATATAAATCATTAGTCAAAACAAGGCTACATTTGATTGAATTATAAAAGGTATAATATGTGGTAAACTGAAGAGCCGTTTGGGAGCCGAAAGAGCCGGCTCTTCTTGGTGAGCCGAGCCAAATGATCCGGCTCACCAAGAAGAGCCGGAATTCCCATCACTATCATCTGTGCCTCACCTTACCCCACAGTAAATGGCTTGAGCGCGCTCACAAAATAAGTGGCCGCGCTAAATTAGTGCCCGGGCTCCAGCAAGTTACTGTGGACTTACGTGAGGCAGAGCTCGTCCCTGCCTCACTTCTCATCGCTCCCGTAGCGGATCTCGGCAAATTTGCTGA